AAGATCAGAAAAGACCTAATTTTTACAACTTGGCACGTTAGGACTCTTATTTTGGTAGTCGAAGTCTATTTTTTCAAATTACGATCATTCTCTTGAACTGACTGTTAACCTTGATCACCTTACTGAGTATCTGAAGAAAAGGAGAATGAGAGAATTCTAACCAATCTATAATGTTGTTCATACAGCAACCAGTGAGTGATATACTATTTATTTCGTCGAAGCACAAACTCCTACTGACTTGTATTTTAATTCGAATCTAATGACTTCATCAGCCTCAAACATCTCAATTAGATATTAAAGATGATTCATCGAGTTCCAAAAAGCACGAATAGATCATTGCACATCACTTTACGTTTGGATGGAATGAATATTCACTGCAATGTTATCCTGATAACCAGTTCCTAACAATAAACACTACTTTCAAAAGATCCTTGATAAAATGAAGAAATTCAGGATAAAGTGAATCTGTGGTGTGAAATAGAGTTTGTGATGAAGATTGAAAGATAATACCATTGAGCAATCAAAAAATAGTAATAAAGTTACCAGGTGAAGAAAAATTCGGAGTTCACGGAAGGCAAGAAAAATAGGAGGATGTACAAATATGCAAAAAATTGACGCAACTGTTCTATATCAACTGAAGCAATCCGTGTAGAATAAGTAAAGCTGTATGTAATTCAATGTATGCTAAATATAAAGTTTCTGGGTCCTAGTCTGTCCTATGGAAAAGAGTTTCGGCCACCGTTCACCTAATACGTACAGTACTCACATTAAAAAAAAATATCAATGGGAAAATATTCCATTCACCCCAGATAACCATTTAGTACGATCTAATTGGGGCACTATTCACCTTACATTCGTCTAAAATATTCATTACACTATCCACCGTGATAGTACATTTATAATCCAGATATAAAATGAACATATATGGTGGGATCCAGTAGAAATGTACGGTATATCTGATATAATGGAGTTTATTTTAATAAGAACTGTTAAAATTAATTAATAGTTGGAGTCAATATGTAAGTGGTAATGACCGATAATTAGATCGAATGTTTGTTTTATTACCATTTTCATGTTTTAACAGCTTTTCGAAGCCAGCTACCTTCATCTTTCAGGTGAGCTGAAAACAAATATGAAATCTGATTCCAATCTCATTTCATATTTTAGAAAATAAGTGACCTTAATGTATTAACTCAACAATAGATAGTTAGTTTATGAAAGTGAGTTTGCTTTAACCTGAAATAAATATTACATGGCTACTTAGAAGCACTAAGCGAAATTAACAAATGTGGTTCCTAAATGATCTGATAAATAATGTGTAGGCTAGCACATAAACTGATCAGGTAAAATTGTTTTATTTTATTATTAGATATTAATAAACTAAAGAATGCACACGATATTTCTTGTCCTCACATTTTGGAATTAAATAGCAAAAGTTTAAACGAAAATATAAAATGGACAAACTGCTTCATATTACATTCTGTTTCGATGCACATTTTAAAGAAACCGAACAAGAACTAGAGCAGTCTCGTATCCCTTCAATAATGTTGCGGAAAAATAGACAAATTTTTTTTTAAAAGTATGATAAAGGAAATAATGGTCAAAAATATTTTTTGAAGTCTTTGTATGCAAATTCCTATCATCAAATTGTGGTGAATATTTTATGATACAAAACATTCTTGAAAACGCTTGACACGTGTTCTGAGAATATATTGCCTCAAAGAGACTTTAGTGAGGTTAAGTGGCTAGCTAATTTCATGAAGTTCTTTTTCTAAATAAATATACTTAATTGTTGCATTGTCTCAGATACTTCTTCACACATTAAAAATCTTAAGCAACGAAAATTCGAATAACATTTAGTCAGAAATCTAAACCTGTATCCTGAACACACGGTACTCGATACAACGTTGGTTGCAACGTTTATGTGTGGGTAACCAATATAAATCGTATTCACGATAGTGAAATTATATTCATCTATCACATAAAAACAAAAAATCATATAAATTGTTCGCATAAGGAAGATGTCTTTTCGAAAAATCTCTAAGCCTTTACACTTGAGTTAAAAACACTCAACACGTTCAGTACGAACAGAATAATCCATAGGAGATTGGGGCAACATCAGCGTTAGTTTTAAATTATTCAACGTTCAATAGTTCTTTGTTAAGGATGATGAGTGGTAAACAGGATGGCTAAAACAGAAAGTTCACGGTGTTGTTAAACAGGATGACAGAAAAGTACTGAAACGGCAGGGCGAATACTATATAATTGTAACTTCCTGGAACAAGGTAAGCTTTTTTCCAAAAAGTTGTTTATTTAACTTATAAGCAATGAGAGAATTTCTAAAACTTTTGGAACCAAACGGAAAGATTCGGGTTTGTATTCACTGATTTAATCATTCCAAAATCTTGAGTATTCTAACTTTACTAATGGAAACTAACCATAAAACAGTTCACTAAAACTGGATAGACATGACAAGACCGTATTTGGGACAAAAACTTTACAGAGATACGATCACAGTTAGCAAATACAGTTATAAACTACTTCCAAAATTCCACTACAAAAATGATACTCTACTCAACCACCTCGAAAAAATAAGTAACAGACTGTTTTCAAAAAGAGACCTTACAGAATTCGAACATCACTATAACTAAAATTGTAGGAGGCAATGAAATCATTACAGATACCATTTGCATTGAAGGTTGTTGCAAGTGAACTACAAGGAGTGTTTTGTATTATTTTCTTACAACAGTTGAACTGATTGTCAAATAGTTGATGAAAGAAGAATGTAAAAGCATGATTATCGGTAAATACTATCCTGTTAATAGCAGCTACATAGTTTGAAAATTATTGGAAAAACTCACATGTATTTGAAAATGTTGAACAAAGGTGTAAGCCATATAATACCCCTATTCCGAATTCCTTACATATTATTTATTTACTTATTTATTTTACTTCTCAATATAAGAAGCCTGTATAAAATACTATCCTAAAAACTCGTACCTCGAATGGTCACTACAGTTGTACAGGAAGCGAAGGGGGTTAATGAATAATTCCTTATTAAGCTAGGTCAATGACTGTATAAACCATCGCACAAATGGATTATTGATGAACGTGTGATAATTACTTAACATTAGTGACAATGTAACAAAATGAGGCGACTAAAAATATAATGTTGACAGATAAACAAGGATGAACGTGAATATGCTCAAAAGTAGACTGTTTTGATAAAGGAAATAGCAATATATAACAGCTCAGAGGATAGGTTAGTTAGGTGACCAGGTGTTAAACACCTGTTCTTCTCGTTATACACTTACTAGCAAGCTTTAGTTTAATACTGTTTCCACCAATAATTATGATGGTATTCTGCAACTCTTAAGATCGGTAATTTGATAAAATTTCATTAAAGTATGCCTATATTCCTCAAACAAGAGACACGAGCAGTTAATAAGCCAACAATATCTTATTATTCTTATTTATTCCCATCTATATTATGTCGAACGTGACATCAGTTGTTCCGTAATCCCAGGAAATAGACAACACACTTTTTATGCGTGCACATTGACATCGCATTTAGTCCATTCGTCTAGAAATTCAGATTAAATGAATACAATCACTTCGGTTATTCCGAAGAATTAAATACTAGTTTTTAATCCAAAATGTTTACTGAAATGTGAGTAATCTCGTCTTATATAACGCTATAGGTGTTCGTGGAAACTTACAGCGTCTATTTAAGTATTACTTTATAGTGGAGCCGAGGCAACTACAAGAGCTTGATTTATAGTAACTAACTTACATCACATTTATGGAAGCATACAATTTATATGCACAATGGTGAATCGTTTCTTCAGAACTGAACAAACACAAGATCAATTTTTCACAAAACCTATCGATTTGTATTCAGACAAATTCCGCATCTATTCAGATATAACCCATACTTATGTACCTTTGAATTAGATAAAAATTGTCTTCGAGATTACATTAACTCGAACTTTTCCAGGGGAGTAAGATATAATTTTTCTAGCCTTTTGTGTTATTTAGTCTTTTGTGAATATGAACTTGCGTACTGAAAGTCCCTTACTCAATGTGAATGCTATAGCTGACACACGAATGGCATTAATTACAATACTGACAAGATGTGTTCACTGAGTAACCAGCCGCTTGACAATTATGCGCACAGTCCTTACAGTTAAGTATGAAACAATTAAAAAATATAAACCTTTCAATTTATGAACCAATATCGTGTATTGAATTAGCCTTCTGTAGAAGCAAAACCTGTTTGACAGATCATAACGAAAGTTTAAGTCAATCTTATGTAGTATTGCAGATAAGGATAAGAATAAAAAGAAACAGATCTTTAGTTTACTAGTGTTAGTTTCACAAAATCTCTGAGAAGGTAAATTCTACTTTTTGAAGCAAAATATAGGAGATTTCAGATTACATGTGGCGTATTAAAGTCAACTGAGCGAAACATGAAAGCGGAATTTCAGGTATGCTCTTTCTTACACTCTAGAGACTTTTGAGATATCACAAATCCACCTTTGACGTTTTGTAATAACCAAACAAAAGCGAACCTAAAACGTGATCTGCTGAGACCATAAAGTACTTTCTGAGCACAAAATAAACTATTCGAAAACTTGCACAGTATTTACAATACCTAGTACTTTCATAAATTCTTGATACATCTGAAGTAACAACTGTGCCTAGGCTTCTTGTTCAAATGTCGTTTACTGTCAAAAGTTAATAAGTATATAGTCATTTTCATTAGTAATTTTATAAACCCCTGAAACAGTGGTAGGCAAAGGGTGTTTGGAAATATTATCAAGCGAATGAAATGTTGGGAAGTCGAATGTTGATTATAGTATGTAAAACTATTAGCCAATTAATTAGAATGTACCAAAAAAGTTTTCGATATCAGTGATTTACACCTTCATTAACAGAATAAATCAAGAAACAGTATACGTTGCGCTGTATAACGCTCAATAAAAATGATCAATAATTACCTTTCCGGTAAAGACCAGTAAGAATTAGGTTTCCCATGATATGTGTGCAATTTTGATCCAAGATCAATTTGACCATTTCGTAAGAACCTTCTTTAGGATACCCTCCTATGCTGTTCATATGCGTAAAACACACTGTCATTTTGAAGAAAAATATTAGACAATCAAAATCGATGTTAAAAATACCTTTACCGCTTTCCGTGTTAGCGGTAGACGCAACTAAATGACGTTTTAGTGTAAAATAGAAATTCATACCCAGTATTTTAAAAGACCATCCCATTAAATATATGAGCATAAACATCATCAGTACTTCCTACGTTCTAAAAGTGGTTAAATGTATTATCGCTAAGCAATGACCTTCATGAAGTGTGCTTAAACACGATTTAACAATACACTGAAAAATGTCGAGTTAGAGAATAATGATCAATCAACCGCTATATCTTGAAGCTTAACTTCATCAAATTCTGCATGGGCAACTTTTTATAAGAACTTTGTGTATTACCCAAATGTTTCACGATATATCCATTCTATAAACTCAAGCAGGAAATTAATCTGTGTCACTGCAACTCACTTTGTGGTTTATGTCTAAAATTTTGGCAATAGACGTGTTAAATAAATTCTGGGAAAATACACCAAAAGCAGTCAAATAGGCAAGCTCAGATAACACTGTCACAAACTGATAATAACAAACGCCTACTCGAAACATTTACTGGAAACTTTCAGATCTACAAGGGATATTCGGAATATTTCGTGAAATGTGTTTCCACAATATGTAAACAACCTGTATTAGAAATCCTAAGTTCTACACATTTTTGACTATTGAATTAGGAATTTAATTTATGTTACCTTTCTTGCATGACATTAGAAAGGTTAAGAGTCTCTTGCTTCTAGTGACAGGTTATGCAGTGAATCACATAGCATCTGGTGAGGAGAGAAAATGATTTGAAATTCAGAGCTTGAAATGGAATCGTCAGAGGAAGATGTACTCTTATTTGAAGCATTCAGCCACTAAATGACAGGAGGAATGTCGAAAAATGTGTAAAATTACGAACGCATATATCAATAAAAGCCTCTCCCATTGTGACCGCGAAATATAGACATCCAGAATTCATTCCGATTTACACAAAAAACATCTCTATTGGAATGCAAGTTTTATCGACACTTTAAAGGAATGTTTCACAAAGATTAGGTATCAGACATAGGGAAAACATTATATGTTGGTCTACAGACTCCTCTTGCAAGTTACACCATATAATAGGGTGGGATTAGGAGCTCGTTTTCACCAATGAAGCTGAGTTAGTGGATGGTACGTAAGAAGTATTTATTGCCAACAGTACTTCAGATGCTGAAATGTTTCTGTCTGTAATGATCCAAACTTTGACAATAATCATGGTAATGGAAAGACGTGTCGAATTATGGTCTACTTCGTTATTAGTACTGCTCTAATGACCTAATCCTCAAATTGTCATGATATAACTGCCTAAGGTACAAAATCTTACGTGGAAGTCACATCATTTTCTACACCGACTAATCGTACCGTAACAATCACCAACATACGATGGAGGACACATTTAGACTGGAAATAGAACAACAGATTTCTTGTGAATAAGAGTGACAAAAAACACACAAGATCAACCACACTTGCATGGCTGAGTTATGCCATCCGATGAATTGAATTAATTCTTCCTGCCTTCTTCACCGTTGAGTTTTTACCACATTAAATGTTGAATATCTGTTTTCACAGTTGTCTCGTGTTCAACTTTGAGAAGTGTGGGGTTAGGGCTCAATGCCACTACAGACGTATTCATTATTTCGTTATACTTTATTTTTAACTGGAAATCTTTGTAGTAGACGTTCGCGCTATATGCTACGTGCTCAATATGTCACATCTTTACTCAGATTATGCCAGCTTTGTTGCTTCGTAATAACCACTGTATACTCTAAGTGGTGTAACATATCGAAACAGCTTTTACTACAACATTTATGCATGACTGAGCGTTATTAACCCGAACGAAAATCACATGGTTAGCTTTTCACCTTTTCATTGGGCTTAGTTATTGGGCTCATCGACAATCAGTCGACCTAATGCGTCAACGGTGATACTAGAGTATGCTTTAGTGTGATTATATGCAAGTAGGGTTGACTTGTCGATAATACCTATTCTTGTAATGAATACGTCCGTTGGACTGTGGATCCCAACTACGTTGATCTGTCCAAGATCTCATAAGAAACTGGTAGTTAGGCATGAAACTACAACAAAAGCCTACCATTTCGTTGAAATTTTGTAATTACATGACAGTGAACGATTTCCGTTGATCTGGAACTGCTCCAATTTAGATTTCAGAGAATATATATTCAAAGCGTTAATAATATGCCCAAGATTTAAAGCATACAGAATTAGATGAGCACATTTCATTATAAGTGCTCCATCAAGTATGAGGTTAATAAAAGTACGATGATTAGACCCGAATCGGCATTTTGTAGTGACTGAAGTTATGGCATGTTGTTGGAGTTATTGAAAAACGGGGTTCTGATGCTCAATATTGGACTCAATGTTTGGTTATGTGATACGAATGTCCCTAAAACCTTTGAAAACGTTTTTAATGGATCCCTGAAAAGTTTTTACTCCGTTTTCTGACCCGGAAGATACGCAGAAATTCTTGCGGTCCTAGAAGAGTTGTCGGGATACGGTCGTTAGCTTTGACTGAGTCGATTTCTTGAAATAAAGTCATGACTTTCAAGGTGTTCTTCAAGTCATTATTACTGTAGGAGTTAATGACTTGGCGTAGGTCCTTCTTTAAGCCGTTAATAATCGTCTGCAGAAAGCCAGTCATTACTTTCTTTTCAAGAGACCGTACGTAAAGACGGACGCCCACGAACTGTTCGATAGCTAGGTCTTGTACAACATCAAGTACTGTAACTGTCAACAGGTGCTATTGAGGAAGTTGTCTAGAGTAACAGTCGCAGTGTCAGCAGATTTAAAAGATAGAAACTTCTAGAATTTTTTAGAGCTTTAGAAGGAATCGCAACTTTTATGGGAGTAACATCAACTGAGGTCATCAGTCCCCCACGGTTGATAAACATGCTCTCTATGTGATAAGTTACCTTTGAGAGTTCTGAACCGTCTGTGATTATTTTGGAAGTCAAAAAATTCTAAGCGTGCTACAGAGCTCTGTGATCTATCTGTGGATCTGATAGCCTACAGAATCGGGTTGATAAATGAACCAGAGCATCAACTGCGTTAATCTAAGAAGGAACAGGAGTAGCACGAATCTATTGTATACGCTTGGACAAGAATAGTCGAATGAATAAGCCCTCGTGGGAAGTTCATTGACTGATAACCTCTTCTCTTCGTTGTAACATTTCTGTTAGTGAATATATCTGGCAGAATATCATAGTGACATGTCACAAATAGAAATGAATACTGAAGTACCTAAATAATTTCAATAATATTTCTTAAAATATATCTGGTTACCTCAAACCACTATATGGCTTTGTAAATGTAAGACTAGATAATCTGAGAATAAGTTAAAATTCATTTCGTTGATTCATTTTCACTCTACAAATTATATTTGGTGCCTCACAATATCTATAATCTTTCACATATAAATAAGACCATTACATCAATAATCGACGAAGTTGGATAAATCATTTTAGAATATATAAGATAACTCATTATGGAATCATGAATACATAATCGACGATTAGAAATAGCAGAGATGTATAGGGCCCATTGAATAAAAATAGTAAGAAAAAGATGTACTTAATTTTTAATCAATTAGCAGTTGACTTGTTATATTACATCTCCAGGATTCACTTTATTCAACAAATATGAGAAATTCCTACCTATCATGTTTCATTGTGGGCCAGGGATTAAAATACGCATTTTCAGAGCCTTATGCAAGTGTTTAAAGTAGAATTCAATCAATTATCGATGAGAATGTAGCTCATAAGTTGTCTTATAAACGAAAGAATATGGGTTAAATACATTACGAATGATAAGCCGAATAAATATCAACGAAAGTTCACCATAATCGGTCTGTCTTTAGCAACCATCCTACAATCAATTTCGCCTAGAGTCAATTTTGGTTAAGCCCTTTTTATTAACTTAATTAACAGACATCGTCATTTGGATAGTAACAATTTGAGCATTCTTTGCACTGCTATACCACTAGAGCACATGACACTCTATCCAAAATGTTGACTGTTTAAATATTATTCGGTGACTCATACTCCTCCCCATATATGTATGCACGCAAATACCATTATCAGACTTTGTTTTGTTTCACTGTGCCCTTATTAAATTTGACTATAAATTGCCTATGTAATTACTTGCTATTTGCTCGTTCTCTTCCTTCGCTTGTTCGCCTGTTCACTCGCTCGCTTGCTGCTCGCTTACTCGTTGATATTCACTCAGGTGTTGTTAGCTTTTTGACATGAGTTATTCGACAATAAAAAAGGAAGTTGCTGCTATCCTTCGTCTTCTGATTTTACGCACCGTTAAGATTAGAATTATAACGGTTATCGAAGTGAACGATTAACGAAGCGCGGCACTACATGTCTTCCTTTCAGGTTCATCGAGTGGACCTGAAACTGGATAAAGGTACTGAGTAGTCTCCAAATGCGTCAAATAACCTTTGATGTATGGATATTTATTTTAAATTTAGGTTGCGATAAAGCTCCCTAAGATTTGATATTTTGTATTTCTAATAAAGAAATCAGCCAACCCTTGAGAAATATTCACTTATTGACAGCATGTGTATTTATGCATCTACTTGTATCTGTGGTGTCAATTTATGAGTGGCGCATAATTTAATTTTTCAAAGTTCATTTACAAATATCAGCCTGTAAACAAAATAAATGTTGAATACCTGTACAATTTTAGATCCGTAACTTAACTACAATTAACTTCAAAACTATTTATAAAGTCTTTTAGATTTGTTGTAAAATAATGCACGTTCATAATCTGTACATGTCGGAATGGTCGAAATTTCTCCAACTAAAGCCTGGAGTTCATACATGGATCTGACATTCTCTACCTCTTTTGCTGTTGTAGCCCTAATCCTTACTACACTTTATTCAGTAAAATATTATTTTATGATTGATTGATGATCAATAAATTATCATAACTCACAAATCAAAGGGCATTTTACAGCAATGACGATTTTGATGTGTTAAGGTTTTGTTTTGAGGATACGACTGATGTTCTAACTTGACAATTAGCTACCAGTAGCACCTTCTATAATCGAAACCTTTCTGGCCAATGGAAATCAGAAGTCAGATGAGAAGAGATAGGAAAGATAT